AAAAAAAAAAACAAAACCAAGGGGCCTGGGGAGATAGCTCAATAGAATAAGCGCTTCCCTGGCAAATGCAAGGGCCTGACTTCAATCCCCAGTAAAAAAAAAAAAAAAAAGAAATAAACAAGCCCACAAAAAACTAAAACAATGAATACTGCAAAACTAACAACACCGGAATAGATACATGGTAGAATTGCCAAACAAGTGATTTAAAAGCGGGATATTAGGGATTGTTTTTGGATTTTACAAAGTGATCCCAAAACCAGTCTGTAAATTACTATACCTTGTGGCATATTTACAGTATAACACTGCTTGAAATGCAGTAGTATTACCATACATTATTATTTAGAATGTGAATAGCAAATATATAATTTTTGAAAAAAGGAATCATTTATGTAGTACAAAAAGGCAGACATTAATACACATTTTAAGTATTATTCAAAGCCTTATAAAATGTAGACTTAAAAAAGACAGACACTAAAAGTGTTTTAAGTGCTTATAATGATAAGATTTCCTTCCTTAACTCTGCCAAATGGAATGAACCACAACACGTTCCTCTCGGGACTTAGAGCACACACCGGCTTTCCCAGCAGCCACTGCTGCACCCTGTGTGTGTTTCAAGGCACCACCCTTTTATCTGCGCTAACATGAGAAGTTCCATGAGCTGTGAAACCAAGAGAGGTGTTTTAAATGTTAGGATTAACAACAAGCCTTGTTCAAAGCACATAATTTCAATACAGAAAGGTGATTGATGAGCAAAATCAGAAGTATTTGCGGTTGACAGTATCCCTTTATGTTTTGGGACACGGACCATTAATAGAAACATCTGTTTTGACAAACTCAGTATGACACTGAATTCATATTTCCACTTTCGGTTGATATCATTACCCGTCATGCTTACCCTCGAACACATTGCTGCTGATGCCATTATAAGGGGAGAGGTGGACAGAGTTACCAGTGTGAGTTTCCAGCCCTTTACAAAGCCAACTGTGAGGCCAATAGAAAAAGTAGAGATGTTTTGAAACAACAGGGCAATCTTGTCTCCGATTCCCTCGCTGATCTTATTGATGTCACTACAACAGGTACATACATTTAGATGAGTCACATGTGGCACACATGAGAAGCAAGTTGATATGCTATATAGTCGTCCTCTTACTCAGTCATGCGAGTGTTGAGCTCCCCGATGTCACAGCCATCAAACCAGCTGATGTCCTGTGCTAAAACTGAATGAAAAAACTGTTTACGAATTCTCTTGGTCTGTCGTGCTGCAGTTATAACCCAAAAGGAAATCTGCATGTAGCCGAAAATCAAGGCAGTAACTCCTATTCCAACATAATACAGGGTCAACCTGAAGAAAGATGACCGGAGATGTTAGACTGTTATTACTTAAAAATAAAAAAAGGAAAAAGAAAGAAAAACAATATCATAAGATTTGATTGAGAAAACATGCAAGAACCTAGTAAACAACTGGAAATAAACCACCATGAAGAAAAATGATGTTCTATAGACTCAAAAAATCTAGCAGCCTTTAAAAAAATATTAGTGTAAAAATGCAAACAGCTAAGTGTGGTGACACATGCCTGTAATCTCAGCATTCTTGGAGTCTGATGTAAAGGGATTGCAAATTTGAGCCCAGCCTGGGCAATTTAGGGAGACCCTTTCTCTAAAAAAAAAAAGGAAAGAAAGAAAGAGAAAGTCACGGGGATGTAGCCCAATCAAAGGGCCTGAGGTGAATCCCTTGTATGGAAAACAAAATTACATATTGAAATACATATATATCAATAATTACATTTCATATCCTTTTTTAAAAAATTTAATTTATTTATTTGTGTGTATTTGTGTGTGTTTATGTGTATTTGTGTGTGTGTGTGTGTGTGGCCAGCTCAGCCCACCAGGGGGCGGGCTGGCTGGCATGTGGTGCTGGGGGATTGAACCGCGGTCCCTGTGCTTTGCTAAGCTTGTTCTAAGTAGGTGCTTTAGACCACTGAGCCATCTCACCAGCCCCTACATTTCATATCCTAATGAAGATCTTCAGTTGAATCACTCAGATATAATAATAATCAAACAAAATTTTCAGTTATTTTTCTTATAAATATTGAAGAAGGTAGCATGTTACAAGTATGACAATAAAGGAGCCAGTGAGATAGTTCAGTGGTCTAAAGCACATGCTTAGGCAAGCTCAGGCAGGCCCAGAGGACTGCGGTTTGATCTCCCCATAACATGCCATACCAGTCCAGTCCTCAGGGCGTGCTGAGCCAGCAACCCCCCCCCAAAAACCCCCTAAGTATGGCAATAAAAATTCATTTTTACTTACAGAAGTGTATCTTCATTCTGCTTTTCCTTAGACTGAGTACAGTTTGTGTGATTTGCTGTAAAGAAAATGTCTTAAATTACAAAAAAATTAATTTATAGATGGTCATATTGTTTTGCAGATAGTTCTCCAAACTAAGTATAGTACTTTCTAGAAAAAATGAACTCCATGCCTACAAACAAGTTTGTAATTGTCTTATTTCTATTATATTCTAGTTCTTGAAATAATTGTCTTTGCTCTCAGGAATTATTCATGCAATGTGAAAAATACAAGGAAACAATAACTATGAAGCTCATAGGGAAGAATCCTTAAAGATACTATAATCAGGCCTGTGGGGGGAATAAGGCCTCAGTAGAATAAGCACCTGCCTGGCAAGTGCAAGGTCCTGAGTACAATCCCTGGTACTACAAAAAAAAAAAAAAAAAAAAAAAAA